CTGACCATATATAGAAATACTTCCTCAATCCAACCTCCCAGGGGTCCAGGGGCCTCATTTATCATCAGTGCATACGCGCAGATGTGTGTGTAGAGCGTGCGTACAAACATTCCTACGCAAAATATGGAATCTATCAACTTGTACTTATTCTTAGGAATGTGCGTAAATGTACGCACACCTCTGACCATGCGTATGCACATAATCTGGTGGTAGAATAGTGAAACTACAAATAGAAAGTGTTCAGGGATTTTGACCACCGGCACATTCCAGTGTGAGGCTGGAGACACATACAACAATTCCCAGCAGGACCATGCCGACAGTATTATCCAACATTGTTGCCCAGCGGCTTGGAGGAACGCACGACTCATTCATTGAGCAGAACAGTTCTGTGGGTGCGTCTCCAAGCAGGAGCTGCTGAAGACAACTTATTGGTGAGTGTCACAGAGTGTGAGATGTTTTTGCTGGACTTTGTTTGGTTATTAAAACATCTCATCTGTAGTGATCAGGGTTATCTATTGGGTGACAGTTCGGTATTAACTCATCCTCCAGTTGCAGTCATTTCTCTTTTATGGACTGTGATGCGTGTTTTGGCACTGAGCTTGACGTCAAACCACCAATTTTGCCGGCAATCTGTCCTCTGACCCAACAGAAATAACTGCAGTGGTTGTCTTGTCCCGTGCAGTATTTTTTCTTTCGCTGCTTATCCCAACATTAATGCACCAAACAATATTTTCTGTTTTGCTTCAACCTCGCTGACAAGTTCCTCTTTTTCACCCTTTTTGCCACGATGATGACGACAGGTGAGGAAAAAATAAATCTTCACTTGCTTTATAAAGAGGCGTGTTGTTGCCCTATATGGTGATTTGGAGGCGTTCCTGAAGGCAACATGCACAAGGTTAAGAAGAAGTGGGATTTATCAGCACTGATGTGTGTACGCTGTATACTGTATATAGTGGGATGTATTTGTTTTTAAAGTCACTTCGATCTTTACAATAAAACCGAAAATACTGTACTAAATGTATTACTTCATTTCTTGTTCTTGTCTCTTCAGACTGAGTGTCTGTAATCTGTCAGAGAGAAGCTGTGCAGCTCTGTCCTCAGTCCTCAGCTCCCAGTCCTCCAGTGTGACAGAGCTGGACCTGACTAACAACAACC